CACAGGATCGGGAACGTTGGAAGCACTGTCTGACGCGTCTGCCTCCGCGACCCGAAAGGGGAAGCGGCGAGGGAAGATGAATGAATGAATGAATGAATGAATGATGTCATTCCCTCGTTTGGATGCCTAAACCGATATTTTTCGCTATTGTTGTTAAGCCAGCGCTGATTAGCAAAAACCAGACAACTGCACCCATGTGCTCTAGCGATTACATTTTGAATACTGCTGGAATCGAAAAGATTCCAGTAAACCGCATACTGAAACGTCTGTTTCCAACGAACGCCTGCGATAAATACTTATATTCAACATTACCAGATATGCGTAGCTTAAAGGGAAGGAGCGTTTGTATGTCAACCTGAAGACATTAGACATGACTCTTAGGTCAAGGCAGGGCAAAGACATCCGTTCTATTGTTTAGCACTAAACTGCCAGATACCCGCGGTTTTGGGCAACCACTTGGACAATGTCACGAGTAAGATGGGCGATATCCACCTAAAACCCGCATGAAATGCAACAGGGGACGAGGTGTCATCGTTCGTCTTTCAATTGGATCGTATAGCGTGGCGGATGGAAGGAAATGACGTTCGGTACGGCATTTACGCGCTACGAACTGAAATGTATCCCACCTTGTGCTGAGTAAGTTACACTACCAGGGCACATGAAAGCCCTGCAGCCAGTTTGCAGGAAAATCTTCGTCTCAGCAGTGCAGCAACAATGGAATCCGGTAACTCAAATAAATTCAAATCTTGGCGCATGCTTCGAGAAGGCGAGTATATCAGATATGCATGGAGTCAATGGGCACAGGATATTAAGCTTGTTTATACTGCATTCTGTTAATAAACCGTGTTTAGCATATGCCAGCCAACATCTGAACGAACTACTTCACAGTCAATGATACTGCGAACAATACTACACGCCAGTGTTAATCTCTGATTAGTATAACTTAATTCAATAATGCTACTTTCTGGACGTATGGCATCTGACATTATGTTTAATCCAGATCTTCTTTCGAAAAAAATAGACGATAACCCCTCTCCTATTGTAAGGTAAGTGAGAAGTCGTGAGCAGAATATCCGCCTAACAAATTTGCCTCAACCCTATAAGGAAATCTATCACCTACTAACCTTCCATTGCCGCTACCTCGCTGGCCCACCGTTTCGTGACTTATGACAAATCTTCATGCTATCATAGGTGTCACAGAAAATAACTTCTAATGTAGTTTGATCTGTCATACAATTCCACACCCCAATCGTTACCTATTCTACGTGAAGCGGACATAAATTGGATTTACGGTGGACGCGCTGATTTGCAGACGGCTTTAAATGTAAATAAAACTCGCGAATCTTACAACTATTAAAATTAAGCTACAGTATCCTGATATTATCTAACAAATGACAACAACACTGGGAATGAACACGGCGGTGACGGAAGATTTTTACCATTTCAACACTCAAATCGGACAGCTGGCGAATGGCTTCGCTGTAGTCCTTCTTCGATTCGATCAGCAGGTCCAAGTAGACGTCCAAGCGATCATTTCTCTTCGCGACAGCGCACGCCTGGTCGAGCAGACCGGCGCCACGTAGGAATCGGACAGCTGTATCGACATCGAATGCCACATTGTTTCCGTTGTCCTAGAAAAAAGAATACGTCACACTTCAAGTGTTCGTGCGGTAAGCGAAAAAGGAAAATAAGTAACCCTCGTTTTGTGGCAATTCCTTTCGTGAAGAGTGCGGTACGATACTGATGTCTGTTATGTCCTTCACTTAGGGTCTTATTTCTTGAAGGCAATATTCAAGTACGCGGCTACGGTATAGGACAGTCTTCCAATCATTCCTAGGAAATGACTCTCTTTACCAAACTCGAAGGAATGAAAGGCGAATGACCTGACCGGTCTTCAAAACTTCAATATTTAACTAAGAACTAAGATGAGCTTTCAGCTAAGTGAGTCACCAAAACCTGTGGGGCGTACGACGAGACAATGCAACGTACTCGCAAAAAGTGGTCTATCTTATCGATGGCGTTCAACTTCGTGTAACAGTTAAGCAAAATCGTCGTGTGGTTTGAAGTCGCCAGATGCTGCCGATGCAACGCTTCTAGATACTCTGCTAGCTGTTCAATGCGCTGAGATTCGAGAAACTAGAAAACGGTTAGTTTTACAGGCGAAACGTACACCGGCCGGTCTGTACCTTGGTAATAACGTATGACGACTCGAGAACACCGATAGTCTTTATGAACTGTTTGATCGAATTGGCATAATCCGATTTTCTAGAAACGAAACTGTAAGCTATCAGCATATCGATCCGTCGAAAACAAATAACACGTAACAAATCCGCCTTCTATGCACATAAAAACGACAGAAATCATCTTACAGAATTGATCAACACTGACGGCGATGATAGTCTAACACGCTACATAAATTTTTGCGTCCCGTATTAGACAAAGGACAAGCAACTGCAAAAGTACAAAAACGCATACCTGAAGAGACACAAGGACTGCAATATCTTCAGCTGCTACCTCAGCTAGTAAAGCCTATTTTAGATCCTCAAAACGACAGGTCAATGCAGAAAGTGGCAAACTAGACTGGAAGACCACTTCCTACTTTCAAAACTATTTCGCCTATGAAACAGACAGTACGACAACATAGTTGGGCAAATCGGGCAACAGGGCCAGGCTCCACCGCCTTTAGTCCTTTAGTCATTCTTGTCGGAAGGATATGAAAGGTATTTGTAATTTGCAAATCTGAAGACTGCTAAAGGCCGTTTGACCAGACCGTATTCGAAGAGAGACAGAAAGGTTGAGGCGAAGCGCTTGTCAGAGCACTCCGCGATCACTTCAACACCTCGGCGTGGGCAGTATAACAAAACAATGAAAGAACTCAAAGACCATGAAACAGCCAAAATGCGATCGAGAAGACGTCATGAACTACCGTCCTATATGTTCGATCTTCCACTTGTCAAAACGTTTCGTGCGAGTAGTCTACAAACGTACTGAGTAAAACAAATGGACGGAGGAAGCTGGCCTTCTTAAAAGATTTTCTGTAACTGGATACACGCTACTTGCCGAATGGTGAAGCGAATACGAAGCCCCGTGTGCTTAATTTTCATCAGGTTAAAGAAAGTTTATGATTCCGCAGAATACAGTGCGATCTTTCGAGTATTCGCTGCATAAGCTGATATCACTATGTTCAAGCAATCCATTCACGACTCGCTGATGGAAGCGCACACAGAAATCACGCTGTTTCAGTGTCCGTTACAGATTATTATCAACAGACGTGTCAAGCAGGGAACGGTCTGCTCCACAAAGCATTCATCGGAAAGTAAATTAGGAACACTCAATGAAAAACATCATTTTACGATGACTGAGGGCTTTACCAGATGCAACTCTTCGCCGATGACATTGTCCTCATTGCAGACTGATCGACGATGCCTAGGTGCTGCTCAACAAAATCTGTGATTTGCAATAGTGACCAAGCTGCCTATTCATACAGGAAGAACGAAACAGAAGAAAACAGAAAAATGCGTATTGCCCTGAGTTCAGCATGAAGCTGAATGGCCAACATGTTGGCAAACGAGTACGTATCTCTAAGAAGGACCATAAAACAGACAGTGACCCCAGAACCGAATCTCAAATAATGGATGAAAACTGCATGGTCAGCATTCTGCAAGCTTAAGCATATGTAAACTAACAACAAGCTTCCCTAGGCACGTAAAACAAGTCAGTCAGTACGCAACGCTTTATGGGTGTGAAGCATGGAATACAATGCTCGCTGACGAAACAACAATACTGGTCATGCAACGAGCCATGGAAAGAAGGAGGAAGGGTGTCAGTAAAATGCAATATATATCAAACGAGCACTTCCGACTCAAAAGCAGCGATACGGACATTATCAAAACCGTCTAAGAAAGCAAGAAAATATGAGTTGGGCATATGGCGAAAATGAAAGACAACCAATGAATAACAGAGATATTCGACTGATTGGTATCCACACGAGATAACAAGAGCACGAGGAAGATCAACGGGGCGCTGGACTGATACGCTGTGGAGGACCAAGGCAGAATGGAGATTCAAGTAGCCCAGGGCAAAAAGCAACGGAGTAGCAACGATCTGCACGGATGGAGAGAACAACTGCAACGGTGATACCACAGATCGTCAACGGTATCAAACCTAAAGAAAATGTCTACAGCAGGCGTTCATTATGAAGCAGTCACCTGTTTCTTTCCCACGAAATGATATTAAGAAACATGAAATAAAAATAGCTTTGGAAATTGCAACAGAAATAGAAAACTCAGAAATATGAAAGGAAAATGATTCGACACATTCGAACCCAATCGACTGCAAATTCGAAGCGCTATCCACGGAATTGTGACAGCGACAGGAAATTCGTTTTCATCCCACCGTGTACCATTTACAATTTTGAAAGGAGAATGCATCTAGGACATAACTGTAACGGCGCAAAAGTAATGTAAGCTGAGCAAAATTCTTAATATCGCCACCCGACACGTTTAACGCTTTTTCAAAAGTTCAGCACCTTCCGAAGATAAACAAAATAAGAAAGGAAAATTTTCAAATGTTGCAATGTTTGACCTTCCTTACACTTACATTCAAGCACCTTTGCTTTCGTTAAGTTAACGGTGGGAGCGCTAATCTCCATTTAATGACATCCGCTAGGAATGCCTTACTTTTAAAGACAGAATCGACAGCAGCTACGCGACAAATATAGCCAGTATTCCCCTGTCTTAATACCTCTACCAGAGTGGTGTTCATTTATCAACCGCGAAAGGAAGAAAAGCGAAAACCTAAACTGGGAAACGACCAATCGAACCCAGCACCTCTCTGTCGAGTCTCCCGCTCGACTGACCGAGTAACTCCGGTCTTAAGCAACGCATGCTTAATTCCTCACCTACGGAACACATGGTAAAGAAAAACAATGCCCACCGAAGGAATCGAACTCTGCATCTCCGATAATGGAGCTCGAAGCCGACCTTATACACATTGTTCTGCCTTGCACAGGATACACAGAAAGACTATGTCCAAGAAAAAGTGAAAATCCTGCGTAACAATCCTGCATCCGAAACGGCAATATTCCGCAGACAAATCACATACATACGACACGTGACTGAATAAGAAAGTGCACGAAAGTAAGTTGCAGATACAGTCAACTTAAATTAAGGAATGCATCAAGAAGACTTTTGGTCGATCACTGCTGTTCTTCTGATATTCAGTTCGATTCTTTTGCGACCACATCTTAACGAGAATGGAACAAACTTAAGCTATATGGATTACGCGCAAAAGAAGCATGAAATCTGACGAATAAGCCGCCAGTAACAACCAACTGCTCAGATTATCAATACTGACTGCATTTGACAGTTAAATCAAGAAGCAATGTAGTTAAACCGTAATTCCGTTAGCCGACTCGTTATGAGAGCACCACGAACACAAATCAACGCTCATGCAAAATTCTCTATATTCTGATTTTTGTCTCTAACGCTGACGATATACAGTCGATAATAAGAGAAACCCTGTACGAAAACCGACCTGTTGCCGGCTTGTGACCAGCTCGACGTGCTTCCAAGTACGGTTCAGAATGATGCGGGCGAAGACTGTGTAGATCTGTGACAGGAATGCAACTGATCGATAATTCTTGGTCTTCAGAGTAGCCTTTCTTCATGAAAAGGGCAGTTTCTGATCTCACTTCAGAAGTCTTATTCTGCCTGATGTATTCCATAGAAGGACATGGGGAGCGCTTTAAACAGGATAAACCCACCTGCTTTAAGGTTTTCTGCTCTTATATCGTCTGTCTCGAAACTTGTCATCTTTAACATGACCGATTCCCAAATACACTTCGCCCAATGACTTTGGGACGGTTTCTGGGGCCACAAATGGCAACTTACGATCCACACCTACTTTGGTAGAGTACAGCTTACTGTAAAACTTTGTGCAGATCGTGTTCATCCGATTGCGATTAGTACTCCTTGCTCCTCCCTCGTCTTTCAGCGCACTCAGAATAAGTTTTTTAGGTGTATATCTCGCTCCATAACTACCAGGCTTTATTCCCTTTTTACCGTGAAAGTTTTCCCTCAAAGTCTTTTGTGACTTTTTGCACAACCCATTGTACACGTTGCCGATTTTCTCTTCGACATTCAGTTGGGTTTTTCTAGCCGTTAGCTGCCTTGTCGAAAGGCTGATGCATGGGTTTCTCACTGAATTTGTTGTCCGGCTTGATGCTCTAAAGCCAGTCTCGATGACATGTACAAAACAGTTAATTCCACACACACGCCTTCGTCGATGTTCATTTCAGGGTTCACTAATAGCAGCTTCTCGACGAATGCCTCTGGATCGACTGGAAGTTTTCCAAAAAGCGATAATCTTTGAGCTCTTTTGAACCGTTCTTCTTTCGCGAAGTCAATCGTAACTGTGGAATGGAAAAGCCTGTAGTCCGACCCTCTAC